CTATAGAACACGTTAGAACGGGCGGAAACTTAACAATACTTATACTGTGCTGTTATACTTACTATGAAGTACTTTGTACTACATATGAAATAAATTAAATTTGGTTAAGAAATTCAAAAATTAATTTTATGCAATTATATTTGTTATCTTACCCTAATGGCATTTCGCATAACGGATACTTAGGGTGAGATGCCTAAAATGCCAGACAGTGAAAAAGTCGTAATTGCAAACACTGTATACAATTTTTTAAAATAAACTCCAAAGTTTTATTTGAAAAACATACTCCAGAATATGATATTTTCATTAGAGGGCTCCTAAACTCAAATTAGCGCTGTAATTTCCTTCATAAGCAAAATGTTAGGCATCTTCCGCGGACTGTAACATATATATATATGCATGCCTAATAAATACAACGAATTAATGTATAACTATTATATTTAACAAGAGATGGCGCCGTGCCTATTTCAAATTGCTTAATAATTATTATTTAGCCTTCATGTACTATGAAATAATCCGGTTGTTCGTTTGATATCAGATTGTTCTTTGAGTTTCATCAAGCTCTGGGATTTTTTAGTTTATTATTAATTCCAAATTGTTTGGTGAGTGTTTCTTTATTGTTAATATTGTCTTGAAGATCTGGGAAATTGTTTAACACCTTATTTGTTAGGATTGGTTCAATAGTTTACGCGTTTTAAGGGTGTTTCCATTTCGTTAGGCTTAATTGTAGGTGTTGTCAGCCATGTACTCGTCTATGTACTTATGTAAGCAGCGATTATATGCTGCTCCATGCAGTACCACACTTTGCAGCCCCATTCCATTATTAAAAAGTGTAGGAAACTGCTAACTGAACTGACTAGGAATACCAAGATAATGTATATTACATGATCTCTAGTCAGAAGAAAGCATTCTCTTAGGGATGTACTATACAAAGGCATCTCAAAGCAGAATGTTTGGTGGGACAGTAAAAATAAATACGACAATCTTTTGCCTTCTTTGAAGCTTGCTCCCCATAAATGCACGTGTTGCATCGATCCAGTAATGTAGGGTGTCTGTATAAGCAACCCAACAGGTATACGATCTTCCAAGGGGCGTAGTTCTCAGGCAAATTGGTCCCTATACATGTTACAACGCGAAGAAAACCCGGAAAAGTCAGCCCGAACCCACTACCAACTGCCCAGTGTTCAGTGGTTTTATCCATTCGGCCATTGATTGACCCAAAAGCCGTGGAATTAGGACTTTTTTCACTTCTTAACAGTAAGACAAATTTCATATTTTTTTAGTTTCATTCGCCGGTGTGCCATTCCGTTGTGATAACATAGAGTTGAAAAACTTAATTAAAAAATAAAATAAAACGAAAATTACTTTTTGCATGGTGCATAATTTCTAATATAATCATCAAATTAAATTAATATAGATTTCTTTAAACATTTTTTAATTAGAATTTATATATATTTAATTTCTTTTTAGAACTATAAACATGGAAAACGAAAGAATAAGACCCGATTACAAGGACTGCGATGGATTTCTTATTCCAGGACCCTTCTCGGAGGAAGCATTTCGTTCTGCAGTTAATTATAAACCGAAATCTGGCGAATTATTTACGGTTGCATACCCTAAATGTGGTAGCACATGGATGAAACAAATAATAATTCTCATATTTGGAAGAGGCAAACTTTCAGACAAATTATCAGAAATAAAGAATTATCCTTTTCTAGATTTAACTGGAACCGATGCAATGGATTATATTAGTGGACCCGGAGCAATTAAAACTCATTTACCATTCAATTTGATACAATATTCTTCAAATGCTAAGTATATATACATTGCTAGAAATCCAAGAGACTGTTGCGTGTCTTATTATCATCATACGAAAGATGGAAACTTTTATAATTTTTCAAATGGTACATTCGATGAGTACTTCGAGCTATTCATTAATGGTAAAATAGATTATGGAGATTATTTCGATAATCTTTTATCGTGGTACGAACACAAAGACGAACCAAATATATTATTTACAACATACGAAAATCTGAAATTAGACGGAAAAAATGAAATATTAAAAATTGCAAAATTTATAGGAGACGAGCAATACAATGCAATAATTAATAACACAAACGTTTTAGAGAATATTTTAAAATTTAGTAGCTTTGAATACATGAAGAATACTAAAAGTGATTTAATGAGAAATGCTTCGGAGAAATTATACAATATGTATCGAGGTATGAATATAATTCCACCTTCTGGAGTGAGTTATTTGTATGAATATTTAAAAAAATACCGTAACAAAAGACAAGATATTGCGGAATTTAATAACTTTTTTCGCAAAGGAATTATTGGAGATTGGAAAAATCATTTCAGTCCTGAACAGGAAAAGAGAATGGAAGAAAGGATTAAGGAGAAGACAGCAAATAGTGACGTTATGAATTTATGGAAAAACATTTAAAATCTGATCATAATTAGAAGAACTTCAAGAAGTTCGATAACATATAATACATTTTTTGGGCTATAAGTTCCAAGTTGCAGACCTGTAACAGAGTTAATTACATTAAAATTAACTAATTAACTATGTAAGTAGTTCCGGTGTGAAAGTCATTAGAATTTTTAAAATAAATTTGGCAAAGTAAATTGATAAATCGGCTCAATTAATTCGAATATTTAATGTATTTAAAATTAATGAAATAATGTGATTTACATAAATTTTATATCGCTGAAATCACGTCTACAACTTTAATATTAATGAAGTTCGTTCGAACATATAAATGTGCAAAAAGATAGAAAAATACACGGGAAAGTGGGTTAAAATTTAACCCACCTTTACAACATGCACAAGAGGAAAAAAATGTGCATGTAAAAAGCATACAGCACAAAGAATTGTGAGTTAAATAATGAAAATGTGCCAGCAAATATCGTTCATGTGGAAAAAAAATGCAAATAAAGATGACTGCAGCAGAAACGTTTCAGACACGAAAACTTTGGCCGCAACATCGCTATTACCCTGAAGAACTCTGCTTTTACAGTAGACCCCCTGTAACACTGTAGATAATTCCGTGTTATATGTATTCCATGTTGTACGAGTCACTTAGATTTTACAAATACGTGTGCCTGGCTGTGAATGGCTCACGTATTTGTAAAATCTAAGTGACTCGTACAACATGGAATTCATATAACACGGAATTATCTAGTGTTATAGAGTGGTCTACTGTACTATTTTAGTTGCGGATTTTTGGGTTTTTGAGGAAAATCGACCATATTTTTAGACCCCTCTAGAAATTCTCTAATATAAATCAAATACTATAATATAATATAGTAGAAGGGTTAGAAGTACGAAATAATCTAATAATCTTAATCTTTGCTGTTGTTAATTTTTGCCTAGCAACATCGGGCTCATCTGCTCATCTTATAAGTTCATTCTGCACTAGTTTCGTATACCATTGATAATCAATATTATCAAACTGTAGCTTCTTACTATTACCCTTATGTCAAGGATCAATTTGGGTAGGGGTAAACTTTTGCGTGACTGATTCCAAAATTATGCTGGTCCACCAAAACGTATTTTTACATACTTATAAAAGTTTATAATAATAAATTATTTATTATAAATGCGAATACACATCTACATCTTCCGGATGCTGCACGTAGAGATGTCGAAATTAACCTTTGTAAGTTTACTGATTATATATTTACTTGACATAACTTTATCAGAAATGCCAAAGTGATAAAAGTATTAGACATTTTTAAATCTAATTGATAATCTTATTTATTAATGTTATCAACCGAACATATCACATGAAAATTCTTTCTTCAGGCGCGAAATCTGTAAATTTTTAGAGGATCCGGTGGGATTGAATATGCTCCAGCACCTATGAATATGAAGGTACCAACCCTTCATATTGATAGGTGCTGGAGCTGGTTCATATATTCCCTGCACTTCTTGAAGAAGTTTTATCTTTCAACGACAGGACACGCTTATGTAATTTTTTCTAATTATTTCTTATCAAAATAGTCCACTTGTTGAATATTTTATCAGTTTGAACAAAGTCTATTTTGATGTTTTGAAACGCTCTACTGTTATATATATATATAGAGAAAAAAAAATAATTATTGATTTGTATTCTGAACTATTTCCACGTTATAAAAGTAGGCGGGTGCACGATGATATCCTAATCGGAAGACATTTTAAACTGATAAACCATTTACTTATTATATAAAGTGTATAAGCACCAGCAATTAAAGGTGTGAATACTTCGAAAATCAGCGTCAAAATTAATATTAATAGGAATTTTTAAAGTGAGTATTGTAATATATTTTATCTTTTTTAGTTTTTTCCCATCTGCCATGTTGGCACTAACTTATTAGAAGGGGCCTTTTTCCATAACTATGCGTTTGTCAAGCTCACAATGTCATTGTAGGTGGGCTTGAAATATCTGCCAGTAAAAATTTGATGGGGTTTTCAAGCATTTGATTCGATCCCAGGTCCTCCCTCAGAATGGTAGGCCAATTCCTTTACTGCTTTAACAACATTGTAATATTAATAAACCAGACAAACTAGTAAGTATGGTATAATTCTGGTGTTTCGAATTAACAATACAGTTTGGAAAACAGCTCGAATGTAGGTCATCATATTCAGTAGGTCCATAAAAATTAGCTTGTTTTAGATAAAATTTGATATTTTATCCTAGCAACATTAATGATTTTAATTTATATTAAAGTAATTTGCTGTATCAAAATTAATCTCTTTCTTTGAACTGTAATTAAATATTACAGAAATGACTAGTTTTGCTTTAGTATAAACTTAAGGTTAATTTTTAAGTTAGCCAAATTTATGTATTGAAAAATACTGACTTATTCTATTATTATTCCTCAATTTATCTTATTTCTATATGTGATCACTGTTTTTATAAGCCTCTTCATAGATTGAGCTACCTTCAATTTCTTTTTTCCTGATGATTGTTATATAATGGGAAAAGTATGGCGATTGGTCAAAAAATGACCTCTTACAAGTTTCTAAACTTTAGGACTCGGAGGACCTTGAAACGTCCAGAAAACGTAAAAAAGTCAGGTATTTTTTCTGTTTGTATGGGAAAGCACAATTTTTTCACGCAATTTGAAGACTAACAACTCCTGTACCTTTCATCAAAAATTTCTGAAATCTTGCAGGTCGGTTTGTATATTAGAGGAAAATGTTTCTAGAAATTTTCAGGAAAATTGGACTATTATTTCGAGAGATATGTCCCACTTCTTATTATCTCCCGAACCAATCTGAAAATTCAAAGGTAATGGTTGCAATTATTACCGGCGAAAACAAATACAGAATGCCTGGAAAGACTAGTAACAATGTTGCCAACTTTTTTCTAATATCCTTTATCATCTACTGTTACTTCTTTTCACCCTCTTCTTTTCCTTCTGTCCCAGTAAACTTTTAAATGATGATCTTCCTACAAAAGTTTCCTCATTTCTCAGTATTTATCATCTTTTACCTTATACCTTTGATAAATATTATATCAATTTAATTGTCTATTGTTTCTCTCTAAACAAAGAGATAAAGCCACTAAACACTATTCGGTCGTGGGTTTGCGCCTCCCAATGGACTGGCCACGTAGAGTTTACCGGGATTTATTCACGTTTGTAACACTTAAATAGGGAACAGTTTTCCATAGAAAGTCCTCTCGAGAGGCATCCCGGCAGATCGTCGACAGCCGTAAACAGATGAACCAAACCGTAAAGAGTTAAAGATAAACAAACGCTATTCCACTATTTTACAGGCCATCTTCTGGTGCTACAATTTTGGAATACTGATTATCGAATGTTCCAAAATAGAACATGATAAAAATGGAACATTCCAATGTTTATATTTAAATATACAGTTAAACTTCGGTTTTCGAACGACTCACTTTTCGAACAATTCGGTTCACAAACAGAATTTTAAACTCATAATTACACCAGTTGCATAATTATTCGTAAACAGAAATGTTCGAAAAACAAAGCGTTCGAAACCCGAGAATCGATTGTAATTAATAAAAACCACGTTAATTGATATTCGCGTAATATAAATAACATCCAAGAATTCGTATTTATAAATGCTTAAGCTAAATTAAATAACAATAATTTATTAATATAATATTACATTGCATCTGCAGGCATTTTTATGCAGGAAATACAGCTTAAAATGTAAAAAAAAAGACTGTTTTGGGGTCAGGAACAGATTAATCAATTTTATATTGTTTCTTATGGGAAAACTTGTTTCGGTTTCCGAACAACTTTTAGGAACGAATTATGTTCGACGACCGATGTATGTCAACAACGTTTAATTTATACCTAATACAGAAATGTAGAGTATAGTTCAAAATAGTGTAGTAAGAAGTCCCGGTCTGAGGTCCTTCTCTCTACTTTGAATAATAATTTGTGTTATGGTTCTCCGCTCCCCAAACATACAAAGTAATTTCAAATATATCTTTTAAAAGATAATTGTTTTTGTAGGTAGTGTGCAAAATTTTAAAATTTTCTATAAAGAGATTATCGAAATATAAGCAATTGAAAAGTGCAAAAATTGCCAAAAAAGCTATATGTTCTTTCCGGTACTGCAAACGCTCACAGAGAAATATCTACTGGATCTAAAAAGCTCGAATTTTAAACTTAAACCTTTCTCCTTATCGGAGAGGTGCTGGCGAAACTTTTTGGTCGATAGGTCAAAGTTCAGAGGGGTTTCTCTTTAGATCTATTTCAGTTTTACAGCTTAATTTTAAGCTTATATATATAAAAGTGCATGGAAACAAATGACTTTTATTTAAAATGTTACTAAGAATATCCAGACGGATCGAACCCCAAAAAATTTTTGGGGATTTTTCGATTCGATTTGATTCCAGATCTCCCAGAGCAACACGCTACCACTTCGACCGCTTGGCCATTCGGCCGTCGGTACCATTAATAGTTTGTCAACAGAGGTTAAGGCTACAGCTTACTCTCCCTGTCATCTGGAATCGAATTCGACTGGGCAACCTCAGAAATTTTTTATGGATGGTCTGTTTCGAATATGTTGGGCCTTGTCCCTCACCATTGTGGGCCTGGCCGAACCAACAGGGGGTATAAAAATGGCCATTTTATTGCCATTTTTATACTCCCTGTTGTAAGGGTGTAAAAAATGAAAACATAGTTTGCTTTAATTCATCGATCAATAAAAAAATGAAATGATATAAAAATTAGCACGATAGAATTTATATTTTTACATACAACCTGTACAATTTTCATACTTATACAACGTAATTCTAATATTCTAAAACAAAATTTTTTATTATGAGTTAGGTCATAAAGATGCAGTATAAATAACAAAATTGTTATTGTCATTTATAAATACATTCCATGTAGAAGATTGAATATAGTATTTAATGAACAATTTCGTTATTACAATTTAATGCACCAATTTACTAAAGTTATTTGGGGTTCATTGGTTTGAGTTCGGGTGAATTACGTTTTCCGTTAAGTTAGTAGAGCCGATTATTACTGACCATGTTTCTAGTGTTCAAACACCGATATTATGGATATAACTAAACCCGTAATGAACTAACAGGTCTATTCCGAGTTCAGTTATATCCACAATATTCAGTTAAAATACCTACGACTTCACAGGGAGGGAATAATTTAAACAAATTCTAACATATAAACATAAAATCAATGATTAATGGCTGGTTTACAAATCATGGCGAGGTGGTTGAGACGTCAGTCCAGCACTTTCAGGTATCCGGGATCGAATCTGGGCATGTATCAAGCTTATCTTTCATCATCTGTTCGTTCCCATTGTAGGGCTGGTCAAATCCACAAAGAATATAAAAAATAATGCATTTAATGCACAGAATGTCAAACGAAAAAAAAAATTAAAGTTCATATAAGTATTAAGTTATATTTCAATATTAAAATGTCACCCATATGTACCAATTGATGGGTAACATTTTTGGTGGGTGTAATTTATTGTTTTACTTATCATATGGTGCTTATAATTTCATTGCTTTATATTTAGAATTTTTGACATGGAAGATGAAATAAAACGGCCTAATTACATAGACTGCGATGGATTTCTTATCGTCGGAGCTTTTTCAAGAGAAGCATTTCGTTCTGCCGTCAATTATAAACCCAAACCGGGCCAACTGTTTATAGTCGCGCATCCGAAATGTGGTACTACATGGTTACAACAAATAGTAGCTCAGATATTTAATAAAGATAAACCTGTAAATAACATTTTTCAAATGAAAAATTCGCCTTTCTTGGAGTTTGCTGGAGCAGATGCTGTAGATTACATGGATGAACCTGGAGCGATCAAAATTCATTTACCTTTTAATTTAACACCGTATTCTCCGGATGCCAAATATATATATGTGGCAAGAAACCCAAAAGACTGTTGCGTATCTTTCTATCATCATACAAAAAATTTAGAAATTTACAATTTCGCCGATGGCACATTCGATGAATACTTCGAGTTATTCATTAATGGTAAAAAAGATTACGGAGATTATTTCGATCATCTTTTATCTTGGTACGAACACAAAGACGATCCTAATGTTTTATTTATAACTTACGAAGATTTGAAATTGGATACGCGAAATTATATTCTAAAAATTGCCAAATTTATGGGCGACGAATATCATGATATTCTGATCAATAATCCAGATATTTTAGAGAATGTTCTTCGTTATAGTAGCTTGAAACATATGAAAGATAACGCGAGATCTTATATTGCATATACGGCATCTCTTCCTGAAGGAACACCTATACCATCAGGTGCTAAAGCTTTTCGTGCATATTTGAAAAAACATCCTGAACTCTCACCGACTTTTAAAGGTAATTTAGTTCGTAAAGGTATTATTGGTGACTGGAAAAATCATTTTAGCCCTGAACAAGAGAGGAGAATGGAAGATAGAATCAAAGAGAAGACTGCAGGAACGGATGTCATGAGCTTGTGGAAAGACAAATGAAAGTGAAGGAACGTATAGATTTAATGATTAAGTTCTTATAATTTGAAATTTTAAAATAAATATTTAAAGTAGAGTTGTAAAATTGTAATTTTTACGAATTTCATTATATTCTTTTACTTTATCAAAAGGTATATATTAAATTATTTTCTTAATTAAAATGTACCTGAAAATTTAAATATAATAAATTGTATTTTCTGTATGATATTTTGAATTATGTAAAATATTTTAATAGCAGTAGAAAATAAATAGAAATAGAAAATATAAAGCAATAGAGCACTATTAAATTACTTTATATACCGTATGGGCTTATGCAAATTTTATCAAGTAACTTAACAATGAATTATAGTGATCCATATGACTAATACATCTCAGCATGTGGCTATAGAATTTACGTAATGGCGTTACGTATTAGTTATATTGAACATTATAATTTGTTGTTTATTTACTTGATAAAATTTAAGGTATTACAAAATGGATTTTAATTCACAGAATATAATTATCTATATTGAGTTTTTTTAAACTTTAGCGAGGTTGCGGCCGAAGTTTTCATGTTTAAAACGTGAACGTCGAACGTCGAGCGCGCTATCTTGTAAGCGGCGCTCGACGTTCGACGTTCACGTTTTACAGATGAAAACTTCGGCCTCAACCTCTTTTTTTTGCCTTGTGAACACAAGGAGGGTCTTCTAATCAAGCCATCTTGGTTCAGGCTACACAGTGAGGCGGTGGTGAGACGAGACTCGACATACCCGGAAAGGATTACCCTCGAAAGATTTTTACGGGTTTTCAAACCGTCCGTATTCGTTGCCGAGTACATACAATAGTAGCAGAGGGGTAAGCAGATATATTAATTAACTGTTCAGTCATTGTCCTCCTCTGTTTAGTTTATACAGGAATGAAAATGTATATTTAAAAATTGAAAAGAATTGAATAAACTTTACAAAGATATGGAGAACTACAGAAGAATAGGGCTGACTATAATCTTACTTAATCAGTTAATACATATATATACGAAGTATTACGTAAAATGTTAGGATATTCGATATACTTCGAACCAAAGGAGTGTATTTTATGTGTAAAAAGCACAGCGATGTATCTAAAAGTGATCGACGATTCTGAGATGAAATTTATTTATATTTTATTGCTAACAGAAGCTTCTTTATATTTTTAAATAATGTTTATACAGAACTTTAATCTTTTTGCTATTTTTTCAATTTCGTTACATTTTTATGTTGTTTAATTTATTTTAAATGATTATTAAAGCAATGAAACTTTTGTGTACTATTTATTCCGTTGCGAGAAATATAAATTGTCCTGTAATGTTTGGTTCCGAATCCATCTTTGTAAAGTCTTCACATAGAAATCGAATGTCTACAATGTGACGTTAAGGTGAATATGTGCCGAACTAAATAAACGTTTGTCTGTGCTTTTCTAAATGAGAAACCAAGTTCGTTCTATTAACGATCGTGAAAACGTAACAATTTCTATGCTTCCTATTACGCGAGAACGTTTTCTTTGTGAAGCAGACCTAGCAACTAATAGTACATATATATATATATATGATAACAGACATTTCTTCTGTTTAGACAGTAGAAGAAATGCCTGCTGTCGTACAAACAACGCCAAATTTGCAGACGATTAATTCATACAACAAAATTACAAAATTCATCTCTTCTTTCTTCTAAACTATATGTTTCAGGCTTTCACACCAAATGGAAAGCCGATGAAGGATGAAATGCACGTCATGAAAGAAACAAATGAAACAGTTGCAATGTTGTTTGAATAAGTGGGTTGTGAGAATTGCATTGTTTATTAGGGTGCAGCACAAATGTCTATTATCACATACCACAAAATAATGTCAATTTCTATTAAAACGTCATTATATTAACTATTATTGTTTTTACTTGAATTAGGAAGAAAACTGTCGACTAATAAAATGGCTGAAGAAATAAAGAGACCTAACTACAGCGAGTGCGATGGTTTTCGTTTACCGGCTTCCTTTTCACACGAAGCATTTCGCTCGGGAGTTAACTATAAACCTAAACCGAACGAGCTGTACGTGGTCACGTATCCTAAATGTGGAACGACGTGGATGCAGAGCATCGTGATGCTTATATTAAGGAAAGGAAAACCTTTCGAAAGTGCATTGGATTATGTGATAAACACGCCATTTATAGAATTTACCGGAGTAGAAGCTTTAGATTCAATGACAGGTCCAGGAGTCATTAAAACTCATCTGCCTTTTCATTTAGTGCCGTATTCACCCCTTGCCAAATATATATACGTGGCACGAAATCCTAAAGACTGTTGCGTGTCTTTTTATCACCATACCAAATTCCTTGTACACTATAATTTTACAGATGGTACGTTCGATGAATTCTTCGATTTATTCGTAAATGGACAGAATGATTTTGGAGACTATTTCGATCATACTTTGTCGTGGTACGAACATAGAAACGACTCCAACGTTTACTTTACAACATACGAAAATCTGAAAGCTAATACTAAAATAGAAATTATGAATTTGGCAAAATTCATAGGTGAAAATTATTACGAAACACTGCAGAAGAATCCCGATATTGTAGATAAAATAATTGAATACAGTAGCATGAGTTATATGAAAAAATCGATAGGTGATGATATTAATAATTTATTTAACGATACAACAGAAAAGTTGAAAAATGTGAATGTTCCACCGGGATTAAAAGCATATCAAGAATATTTGAAAAAGCATCCTTCTCTGGCAGTAAAGACGGAAGGAAGTTTCCTTCGTAAAGGAATTGTTGGAGATTGGAAGAATTATTTCAGTCCGGAACAAGAAAAGAGAATGGAAGAAAGAATCAAAGAAAAGACAAAAGGCAGCGATATCATGAAGTTATGGGAAAAGTAAATGAAATATGCTTCTCACTACAAGATTTTCATAAATGTAAATTCTATTACAACTTTAAAAACTCGACTTTCTTAATAAAATCACATACCAATTAATTGTATGAATAAAATGTAATAAACAAAATGGATAAGATTGGTTATTTGAATTATATTTTTATACGTAATGTACAGGTACTGTATACTGTATTAGCAGGTTTGAAAGTTTTAGACTCGAAATAAAATTTAAAAGTTGTAAAATATTTTCATTGTACGCAATCACATCTTATAAATCTAATATAAAACAGTATTATTAAGTTTATTGTCTAAAAAGAATCGATATAATAGACTATAGTTTAAGATCCATTCAAACTGTAGTGTCTCTGTTATATACCCAGAATAGTTTCGTATATTAAAGTTAAAATTATATTATATAGGTAAATATAAATTTAACTATTCTATCAAAATATAGAGCTTTATTACAAATTCAGAGTAACAGTAGGAGTTAAAAAAATAATTGAAAATTTTCTAAATTCTAATGAGTTTAGAAAAGTTTTAATTTTGCTAAATTAGAAAAATTAGAAATGAAACCAAGGGCAAACGATCGCCTTTAATAATGCAATAATTAATAATTAGATACGAAATTTCAAAACATCGGTCTCCGAAATGTTTTGTAATGAACGATTATGAAAAATCACTATAGAAGTTGATCCCCCTATAACACTGTTGATTATTCCGTTTTATACGAATTCCATGTTGTACGAGTTACTTAGATTTTACAAATACGTGTGCCGGGCTGCGAACGGCGCACATATTTGTAAAATCTAAGTGACTCGTACAACATGGAATTCATATAAAACGGAATAATCAACAGTGTTATAGGGGGGTCGACTGGTATAATACCAATATTACAACGAAGCAAAGAAATAACGATTTACCTTTTAAGAAATTAAATGAATTACAGTAATTTTCCAAAATTACTCGTATTAAACAGATTTAGAGAGATTTAAATAAGCCCATAGCGAAATGTGCCCGTACATTGGAGTGTGATTGTTCAGTCGAAGTACCGAGGTACCACTTTATTTGATTAACGGGATTTTGATATAAACGGTAGCCTCGAGGAATACTTGTATATTTTACATAATGTATACGATGCCCTTTTTTATATCATCTGCCATCGTATTTTATAATCTACGGTCGCCGCTGCCCATAGCTAGGAAGGCTTATAGGGTGGCTGAGCACCGTCAACTTCATAATACACATACATATTACTGCATATATAAGTTTATGCTTTCATCGCGTACACCTTGGCTACTGTTATTTATTTCAACACTTAAATTGAAGCTAATAAGCATTGTGTTACCCGAAAAAAATCGCCAGTAACAATTCTTTCGTCTGTCCAATGATTTATTCCTGGCTTGGGGAAAATTCGAATCCGAGTCCTTGAAAAGCAGTAAGTTGACTTAATTGATTATAATATTTGACGGTCTTTATTTAACTAACTTTTATTGACCGCCGAGTGTATATAAGCTGGTTTTGCCAAACTTATAAATACCGCCCACTTGAAACTCAATGAAGGTACAGTAATTTTAAAAAATCCAGCAACAGTACATTTGGTGATGCCATCTGTTATCATATTTCTTAAAATTTTTATATATTTTTAAGTATTATAAAACGGCAAAAAGCTTAATTTTGAGTTCTTCTCAACCATATATTTCTACGCTGTGGGTAATACTGTGGCATCCTTATAATTTATACATGTGCCCTTCTATAAATTTCAACTTTTTTCGAATTCATCGCTAATGTAGGTGAGTGTACCGGTTTTATAATGCTAGCTTCTTTTCATTCTATCACTGATCTACTGTATTCCTTTGCGCCATTCTAGACAAAGCCGTACAATGCTGCCTTTTCTCAATGTTATACATGTGTTTTTTTTGGACGTTTATTAAGGTTTCTGTTTGTAATCCCTACGTACTCTTTCTCTAAACCCAATTGTTGACTTTAATACGGGATTTTGTATATTTCTACCTGCTCTCCTTTTTTAACTTTACCTTAATCATTCCTGAACAGGCAATGGGTGGGTGCTCTCTTGAAATCCAACTGGGAGTCTTTGCAGTCCACTATTTCACTCATGAAAATCGGTCATAAAAACTCAGTTATTTTGTTCTTTTTTGTGACTATTCTCTTTCTATTTTCCGTATAACTTCTATTAATTTTTCAATTACAGTAGTTTTATATCCTAAGGAGACAGCAACATTTTAAATTCTATCCATCTCTTTTATCCTGTCATATATGTTGAAGCAATAGGAGGCTCTTCTTATTAATGCCCTTAATGCCGATAGTTTATAAACGTAGGGGTCATTCGGCCAAGAAGGAATATACAGAGGGTCGTGCGTAAGTTTAATGTATTCTTTGTGTTTCAAATGTATTCTTTGTGTTAAATTTTAGTGATTAAAGGTCGAAAGCATGAAGAAATAGTAAGTGTTGTATGTATCTGCAATAGGGTCGGACTTAATGATGATTTTACTCTTTATTAGCATTTACAATTTTTTTAAAACAAAGAACTACACTCAAAATTAAGGTTTATGCGATTTTATAATAATTAAAAATATAAAAATTTTTACAAATAAAATATCATAACAGATGGCGCTATGCGCAGTTTTTAATGTTTCCGGGAAAGTTAAGCACCTCCTTGCTGGATTACAAGTTTACGCTGTTACAAGTAAACCCGGAAAAACATTAGTAGATAAATTTTTATTTATTTATTTTTTGTTTCAAAATTAAAAAAGAAACGTAGAAATTTAAACTTTTATCTTATAATCGAGATGGGTTGATAATACAGTAATAATAATAATAGGCACAGAGCCCAATCGGTTAGGAGTTACAAGCTGAAATTTGGTACACAGTTAGGGTACGTCACAAGAACGTACACTAAGAAGGAATTTTTCGAAATTCACCCCCTTTTACGCGGAGGAGAGGGTGAGGATTAAAGCTTATCTTAAAGAACTCATCTTCTACTGTACTATTTTAGATTCCATTATTATGAATTTTTGCGAGAAATCGAACATATTTTTATACCTTTCTAAAGATTCTCAACGATATTTAGTGTACCATCGTATTTAAAGTTGACACTGATGAATGATTTTGGAAGATCCATCTTATTTTTGGAATTAAGTAAACTTGAAGATAAACCCAAAAGGGGTTACGAAGACGTTTGTTATTCATCACTTAGTGGTTCTACGCACCTGTTATTGGTTGCAGTGAGTCTTAATTATTGCTATCCCGGTGTGGTAAGCAGATATCTAAAATTCTCTAGTCTCGGAAGAGAAAGGACCTAATTCTTGCACCCGGTAAAAACGGGCAAGAAAAGATTATATAAGTTCCTTATATCTACAAGAAAAGCAAAATAATTTTATGGGTAATAAAATATATTGCGTAATAATTTTACTGAAGGAATACTTGCATTATTATATAACTATTGTTCTTTTTAAGAAAAGAACAACAAGCTATAAGGTGGTCGAGTAAAGTGCTACCATACTCGAGATATAACACCCTTTATCTTTCCACCCGGTCGACCTTTAATAAAATGTGCTGTACATAATTTTATCTGAGAATATTTGCTTTTAGTCATATCAAACTCAGTTTTCTAATACAGTACAATTAAACCTCAATTTACAACCTCTAATTGTTAGTATGCGGGTCTAGAATTTAATGGCGTTACCTATTAGTTTTATTGAACGTTACAATTTATTGTTTATTACTTGATTAACTTTAAAAGGTATTATGAAATGGATTTAAATTAACAGAATAGATTTATATATATATGTAAACTTTTTCTATCCTGAGGGCACAAGGAGATTCTTGTATTCAAGATGGCTTGATTAGAAGAATCACCTTGTGCCCACAGGGTGGAAAAAGTTTCGAACCGTATTTATTCGTTGCCGAGTATTAACATAGTAGAATAGTACCAAGGGGTAGTCAGATATATTAACTGTTTGGTCATCGGACACCTCTGTTTAGGTTTATACAGGAATGAAAATATATATATAAAAGAATCGAATAAACTTTACAAAGATATGAAGAACATCTTAATCGTTAAAAATAGTCTTATCTTTAAGGTTATCAGTTAATATATATATATATACGAAGTATTGCTTAAAATCATCGGTCAATATATTGGATGAACTTCGAACTAAAATATGGTATTTTATAATTGTTAAAGACACAGGGTTGTATCTGAAGGAATACTTGCATCATTACATAACTATTGTTTCCTTTTAAGAAAAGAACAACAAGCTATAAGGTGGTCGAGTAAAGTGCTACCATACTCGAGATATAACACCCTTTATCTTTCCACCCGGTCGACCTTTAATAAAATGTGCTGTACATAATTTTATCTGAGAATATTTGCTTTTAGTCATATCAAACTCAGTTTTCTAATACAGTACAATTAAACCTCAATTTACAACCTCTAATTGTTAGTATGCGGGTCTAGAATTTAATGGCGTTACCTATTAGTTTTATTGAACGTTACAATTTATTGTTTATTACTTGATTAACTTTAAAAGGTATTATGAAATGGATTTAAATTAACAGAATAGATTTATATATATATGTAAACTTTTTCTATCCTGAGGGCACAAGGAGATTCTTGTATTCAAGATGGCTTGATTAGAAGAATCACCTTGTGCCCACAGGGTGGAAAAAGTTTCGAACCGTATTTATTTGTTGCCGAGTATTAACATAGTAGAATAGTACCAAGGGGTAGTCAGATATATTAACTGTTCGGTCATCGGACACCTCTGTTTAGGTTTATACAGGAATGAAAATATATATATAAAAGAATTGAATAAACTTTACAAAGATATGAAGAACATCTTAATCGTTAAAAATAGTCTTATCTTTAAGGTTATCAGTTAATATATATATATATACGAAGTATTGCTTAAAATCATCGGTCAATATATTGGATGAACTTCGAACTAAAAGATGGTATTTTATAATTGTTAAAGACACAGGGTTGTATCTGAAGGAATACTTGCATCATTACATAACTATTGTTTCCTTTTAAGAAAAGAACAACAAGCTATAAGGTGGTCGAGTAAAGTGCTACCATACTCGAGATATAACACACGAGACTCCCTTTATCTTTCCACCTGGTTGACATTTAATAAAATGTGCTGTAGGCCTACATAATTTTATCTGAGACTTGACAATATTTGCTTTTAGTCATATTGCAATTTAAAGTTTCATCCACTCGTGGCTGGAGTACTCATACAGTTTTTGAATATTTTTATCAGTTTCGTCAAAGTCCATTTCTATTGTTTTGAAAACACTTGTTGATTTTCCTTACAAAAATAAATGCACGATACTAATCGAATCAGATAGCAATTTTTAAACTGATAATTCGTCTCTTTATAACGTTTATATAAGCACTCGCAATTAAAAGTATATTTATTAGTGTGCAAGTAAAGAGAAGTGTATCTTCTTATTCGACTCACGCGAATACTTCGTAAATCACAACCCAAAAGGCTTCGAAATTATAAAAGTAAGTATTGTAATATAAATTTTTTTTACTTTTTATATCCGCTATATGGGCAATAACTTGTGTGAGGGGCTTTTTTCCATAACCATCGTGCATTGGTCAAGCCCACAATGAAGTAAAAGAGGGACTTGATATATCTGCCTGTAGACAGTTCGTTGTGTTTTCAACCGTCCAGATTTCATCCCAATTCCCCTCTAGGACAATCGATAAAAACGATTATCTATCGAAAGATTCAATTACTCAGACACCATCTTTTCCAGTACTCCGATTAGTGAGAGCTGTTAGATATGGTAGTATTTACGACACTTTTTACAATATCGCAACTTACGATGTGCTTTGTTTATACAAGAATTTTTATGCCCGGGAACTTACGAGGAATTCGAATCGTAACACGATATGAAATGTTTGTTTCAATCCGTACCAGAGAAGGTAAACACATAAACACTTGATTCTAAATACTGATCATAAAAGATGAAGTAGAGTGGACAAAAAAACTAAGTAGTAAAAATGGAAGTGGGTATTGAAACCAGTGCACTAATCGTAAACGAAACTTTCTTTCAGATAGAACTATAGCAGTGTCTTTTTATGGAAATTAGTGCATTTCCTTTTTGTATAGTACCTGTAATTGGTGTGAACGTGTGGAACTAAATAAACGTTTGTCTTTTGCTTTTCTTAATTAATTAAATTAAATTAAAAGAGAGACTAAGTTCGTTCTATTAACGATCGTAAAAACGTAACAGTTTTTATGCTCCCTATTATGCGAGAACGTTTTCTTTGTGAAGCAGACCTAGCAACTAATAGTACATATATAGACCTATATATAATCACACAAATTAAAAATTAAGTAAATTAGCTAAATTGTCTCCTAGACTTGTCAAAGTCTACTAGACAAATAGGAGAACGTTGATATTAGAATTACACGATGATACTAGAGAATTGGATTGGCAAGGCATCAGCCTACCTCTGAAAAATGCAAGATCGATTTCGGTCAAGCATTCATGGTTACTCTGTCCATATATGTCGGATCTAGTCCCTCATCACTTTAGCAGGCCCTTTCGAAGCCACAACGAGTATGTATGAGAAAAGGCCCTCAGCGTTCACAGGAAAGAAAGAGTTAAAAATGAAAAACTACTAGAGAATTCGCCAGCATTCGCGAGAACGAATTCATAAATAGAATTTCTATGTTCGGAAAATTACAATAATTTACTTAATAGGGTTGTAAGAATTGTATTGTTTACTACAGTTCAGAACAAATGTCTATTATCACATATTACAAAATAATGTCAATTTCTATTAAAACGTCATTATATTAACTGTTAATGTTTTTACTTGAATTAGGAAGAAAACTGTCGACTAATAAAATGGCCGAAGAAATAAATAGACCTAACTACAGCGAGTGCGATGGTTTTCGTTTACCGGCTTCCTTTTCACACGAAGCATTTCGCTCAGCAGTTAACTATAAACCTAAACCGAACGAGCTGTACGTTGTTACGTTTCCTAAATGTGGAACGACGTGGATGCAGAGCATCGTGATGCTTATATTAAGGAAAGGAAAACCTTTCGAAAATGCATTAGATTTTTTGATAAACACGCCATTTATAGAATTTACCGGAATAGAAGCTTTAGATTCAATGACAGGTCCAGGAGTCATTAAAACTCATCTGCCTTTTCATTTAGCGCCGTATTCACCCCGTGCCAAATATATATACGTGGCACGAAATCCTAAAGACTGTTGCGTGTCTTTCTATCACCATACCAAATTCCTTGTACACTATAATTTTACAGATGGTACGTTCGATGAATTCTTCGATTTATTCGTAAATGGACAGAATGATTTTGGAGACTATTTCGATCATACTTTGTCGTGGTACGAACATAGAAACGACTCCAACGTTTACTTTACAACATACGAAAATCTGAAAGCTAATACTAAAATAGAAATTATGAATTTGGCAAAATTCATAGGTGAAAATTATTACGAAACACTGCAGAAGAATCCCGATATTGTAGATAAAATAATTGAATACAGTAGCATGAGTTATATGAAAAAATCGATAGGTGATGACATTAATAATTTATTTAACGATACAACAGAAAAGTTGAAAAATGTGAATGTTCCACCGGGATTAAAAGCATATCAAGAATATTTGAAAAAGCATCCTTCTCTGGCAGTAAAGACGGAAGGAAGTTTCCTTCGTAAAGGAATTGTTGGAGATTGGAAGAATTATTTCAGTCCGGAACAAGAAAAGAGAATGGAAGAAAGAATCAAAGAAAAGACAAAAGGCAGCGATATCATGAAGTTATGGGAAAAGTAAATGAAATATGCTTCTCACTACAAGATTTTCATAAATGTAAATTCTATTACAACTTTAAAAACTCGACTTTCTTAATAAAATCACATACCAATTAATTGTATGAATAAAATGTAATAAACAAAATGGATAAGATTGGTTATTTGAATTATATTTTTATACGTAATGTACAGGTACTGTATACTGTATTAGCAGGTTTGAAAGTTTTAGACTCGAAATAAAATTTAAAAGTTGTAAAATATTTTCATTGTACGCAATCACATCTTATAAATCTAATATAAAACAGTATTATTAAGTTTATTGTCTAAAAAGAATCGATATAATAGACTATAGTTTAAGATCCATTCAAACTGTAGTGTCTCTGTTATATACCCAGAATAGTTTCGTATATTAAAGTTAAAATTATATTATATAGGTAAATATAAATTTAACTATTCTATCAAAATATAGAGCTTTATTACAAATTCAGAGTAACAGTAGG